GAGCGCCCATTTTGGAAAAGGTAGCTCGTACACGCATGTAGATTAAGTTTACAAAGTTTCAGCGCTGTAGCTTTTGTAGGTTTTGAGATGAAAAATCGGTAGACGCACAGCGCACACACAGACACAGACACACACACACACAAACACACAGACAACCCCTCATCACTATGCGTTTTGTGCATTGCATAGATGTAAAAAATGCACAAAAACTGATAAAAACGATAAATACCCACACCCTAACAAGCTTAACCATTGTACGAAAGATATAAAAAAATACTTCTCAGGGAATTTACTAACTCATAAATTCGTCCTCTAAGGCAGTGACAAAAGCTCCGCACGCTCCAGATGAGATTATACTGGATTGTTCTTCATCGAATCTCTCGACTGGCACGTCTTCACCCAATCTCCTCCCTGTTGACCATTCACTGCTGGCCTGAGATCGTTGATGCCGTGACCCATGCTTTTGAGGCCTTTTCGAGGCACTTTCACGTGTTTTTGACATCTGCAACAGAGCACATTGAGATCGTCATTACTTTATTTTAACATTACTTCATTTTAGACTTTTTAAGCGAGGAACTTACTCTCATAGCGTTCAGCAACTTCTTGTCGAGTGTCTGATCCAAGAAAGAATCGGAAACTTGTTGAAAATCGCCCAAAAGACGAGCAGCAACAGCTCTCACGGAAACCTGCAAACATTTGTAGGATTTAATCGTCCTCAGGAATCATGTTTTTTCTTTTGAACGTTCATGTCTCTAAATCGCTTAAAATTCTCTGAATTTCAAATAATCGTTATTTTTTAAAAATCTTAAATTTGTTTACAATTCTACTTGTAATCCAAAATCTTTTACAAAGCACAACATTTCGCACTGCAACAAAATGCATCAGCAACAAAGTTTCATTTTTGTTCTCAAAAAAATTCTAGCGTTATGCAAAATTCCTCGAATCCTTAAAACTCTCGTAATCTCGCACCTCGACATCGTTGATTGCATGGCACACAGTCGCAAATGCATCGTCCACCAGTCGCAGCTTTGCATCATTTCGACCAGTCACTTCACTGAACAAGAAAAAAAGTGTTTGAAAAGTGGGGCAAGCAAAATAACCCCTGGCACCCTGACCTCAGTATCCAAAAGCCATGTCTACGGATTTTCAAAAAAAGGAGAAAAAAAAACAAAGTTGAAAAGTACATTTCAGGACAACGATCGGCAAACATTTTCAATATATGCAGCGATTCTGTTCGAACAATTTTCGATGAATTCTTGCACAGCTAAAAGCCAAAAATTAATCAATAAAACATACAAAATCACAGCCGGCATTTTGACTGACAACAGAAAAATTTCACAGCCACCACTGATCATGCTGGTCATCAGAGGGTGCTGTTCCAATCACAGCAAAAACGAAAAAGTTATGAAATGTTTTGATGAAGCAAAGAAAAAAGTGATATTCAAAACTGATAAGAAATCAGAAGCATGCCTAAAACGGATTCGAATCTGTGTATGATTTCAAAAAAAAAACAAAAAACATACGTTTTTCACTTGCAAGTATATGTGAAAACTTAATAAGCGCCCATTGGCTGCCAATTCAGAGAGACCTCTCAGAGCGGCTATTCGTACACGTGAATCACGATCCTCCGCCGCATCCGACAAAAGTTCTTCCAACAACAAAAAATCCTCATCCGAGCATTCCTCCTTGTCTGAAAAAGTTACCTCAACCATGCGTCTTCAACGACAATCAACTATACATCCGTTGCTAGAGAAGACAGAAACGGGGCATCTTTTATATCAGCCGAGCACTACACCACAGAAAGCGGAAAGTACGCTGGATAAAGCTGTTACTGGGATAAAATGGGCACATCACCACCTAAGTAATGCAGAGTTAGAGAACAGCTTAAGAGTAGCATATCCAGAGGAAAGTGGACGAAGATAAGTGATCTCCAGGCTTTCAAGCAGCGCAAAAGTCGTTCAATTGCCAAGGAAATGCAAAAAATGCAGTTCACGCCAGAAAACTCAGCCAGAGATGAAATTTTTGCGAAGCAATGCAAAACCTCATCAGAAGAAAGCAAAAATTCATCAAATGCCGCAAAATCTGCCAAAAAAAAGCAATAAAAAAACACCACAGGAATAATAAATTACGCTAAAGAACGTCAAAAAAAAAAATCCGCAAATTTATTGCTAGATATGACATACATGCAGTTCAATAGAGATTTT